TCCTCCTCCTTCTCTCCCTCCTCCTCCTCCTTCTCCTCCTCCTCCTCCTCCTCCTCCTCCTCCTCCTCCTCCTCCGCTTTACAGTCGTAATGCGCTCTGCTTCCCTGCTTCATAGTCAGGTGTTTTGCCTTGGTGCGTACCATCATGTTCGCAAGGGTGCCAATTGTGCACTTTTCCGCCCGCGCGTCCTGACCGGAAACCCGGCTCAGTGGAGATAGTGGGGCCAGTAAGCAGTGCCAAGGACTGGCGTATGGCTTTTGCACTGTGCTGGCAAACGTCACGACTGTAGCCCTGGACTCCATCCTGATTCTCTAAGCTGGATCGCTCCGTGAGGGTCCTGGGGCCCGAGCGCGGGCGAGAACGCCCGGTGTGAACAAAGTGCACCGGCCAGATCTGGGACCCCATCCATCCGATCCATGGCGAGGAGGAGGATGGGACGGGCGGCCAACAACGCCAACGGGCGGGCGGAGGAGGAGGAGGGAGGAGGAGCAGGAGGAGGAGAGGGATGAGGAGGAGGAGGGAGGGAGGGAGGAGGAGGAGGAGGGAGGAGGAGGAGGAGGGAGGGAGGGAGGGAGGGAGGGAGGGAGGGAGGGAGGGAGGAGGAGGAGGAGGACGAGGAGGAGGATGCAACAACGCCAACGGCCCCGCCACGGGCTCGCTCCTAGGCCCCGGGCAGGCCGACAGCGGGCGCCGCGCGCTGCCGGCGAGGCCGCTGGAGACCGGGGTGCGCGGCGGCGTCAGCGCCTCCAGCTCCTGGGCGGGGCTGGACGCCGACGTCGTCGATCGAGCGGCCGATGCCCGAGGGATCTGGCCAAGACCTCGCTCCCGCCTGTTCCCCCCCGCGAGCCCGGCGTCGCCGCGTTCCGCGCCACCGGCGGCTCTGCCCACCTCGGGCCCTGGAGGCCCTCGCGGATCGAGCCGGCTCGCAGAGCTGCAGCAGCAAGATGGGGTCAGGGTCTTTGGTCGTGATTGTTCGCGGTGCCGCATGTTTTTTTTGGTCGCGGCCACGAGACAAGGGTCAGGCGGCGAAAGCAAAGTCGCAGGCGCGAACGAGATGCCGCATGTTTGCGCAGCGTCGGATCTTGGGGGATCGGTGGCCTCTGGCCAGGACCCCCACCCCGTCAGTCGCCTGCAGCTGCCACTTTCGAAGTACGGGCCGCACCGTGGTCCCTAAGAGGGTGCAGCCCAACTCGGCGCCCCCTGTCTCGGTCACCGTGGCTCGAGGAGGGGATCCAGGGTCGAAATCTCTGGGCGCACCCGAAGGCCTGCTCCCGCGGTGCCCCAAAACGGTGTGGTGACGTACCGTGCGGCGACGTCGCCACCCCGGTAGTTGAGCAGGGACCGACTGTCCTGGCATTCCTAGAGGCCTACCACGACATGTTCGTAGAACCCAAAAATGATCGAATAACAAACAACTTTCTTATAACATAAACCCGATGAAATAAAACAAGACAGTCCCAGCAAGAAATGGTTTAAGAAGATTCCGTGGAACCCACAAGAGGTTCTCAGAACATTGTTTGTTCGGCCTCTGGGCACGCCAGGACGCTTCGCTACAGTCGGGCCGCCGAAAGAAGGAGCGCCGAATCAGAAACGAGCCCGGTTCTTGGCCCTGTGAGCGCCCCCGTGCCCCAGGAGGGCGAGAGGAACAGCACTGGAGGAACCCGAGGAACACCGAGCCCCTTCCGAACCCAAACATGCGACGTCCTGATTTTTTCAGGACGGCGCCCCCGCAAGTCCCGACCCTTTCCCCGGGGCCGGTTTTTCATCCTGAGTCGTTTTTTCACGGTCCCGAGGCCCGGCGAAGGCCTCCAGAGCCCGAAGACGGCGAAAAACCTCCGTCCTGATTTTTTTACGACGCAAGCATGTCTGGGAACCCAAACTGCTCCTTGTCTCAGCGTCTTGACTGCACCGCTCGAGGTCGACCTCGCCGCAAAGGTCCGTCACGACACGGGGCTGGGCCCCTGTGAGGCCCGCGGCCGCGGGAGGGGGCGGCGCCCTCGGGGAGCGACCCGCGCTGTGCGGTGACCCTTCTCGTGGGCGGCCAGGAGGCGGGCGTCAGAGACGGCGTGGGAGGGCGCAGATCATGGCCGGCGGCACGTGCGCGGCCCAAGGTCGGGGAGACGTAAGACTCGGGTGCGGGGGACTTGGAACTCCCCGACGAGGTCGTGAAAAAAATGACGAGGCCGAGCCTGCATTTTGACGAGGCCTCCCGCTGCAGACATCCCACGAAACTCCTCCTCGTCAAAATCCGAGTCGCGGTCGTCAAAAAACGATGGCGAACCCGAGTCACGGCAAACCCGGGTCTTACGCTCCCCCGACAAAGGGGGGGGGGGGCAGGGACGCATTGAAAGAAGAAGAGGCGCCGTGACAGCTGGGGACATGTCATGGCCCACGCCATGGTATCCCCCCCCCCCAAGGCATCACCCCCCTTGTTGCCGCCCCCAGACCTTCGCGGGCCCTGGAAACGACAAGGCCATTTTTTCAACGGCTTCGTTTTGCCGTTGTTTGGCCCGTTCTGGCGCCGTTGTTTGCCGGTTCTGGTCGCCATTCTTTTGCCGATTCCAAATTATCAAAACACTATTTCTGATACGATGGAAAAAACGGCCCTGTCGTTTCCGTCGTTTCCGGGGCCCACGAAGCGAAGACCCCAAATCCCCACTGACTTACCATGCGGTGTGGTACGCCGGCTGGGGGCCCCCGATGTTCCGCGGGCCTCAAAGGCCTCTCCACGGGACCAACCAGGATCGTTCGTCGTCGTCGAGATCGTCGCCGACAAGGTGCAAAGGTACGACGTTGAGGATCTTTGCGTGTCGTTGAGCCTCTTTTGGGCTAGGTCGGGGTGCCCTCTGGGCCCCTCATGATCGGGGGAAGCATTGGGGGAGGAAAACGTACGTACCACGGCGCCGACAACAACGACAACCACAACGACGACAAAGACAACAATTACGACGACGACGACGACGACGACGACGACGACGACGACGACGACGAGAACGGCAGCGGCGGCGGTACGACTCGTGCGCGTATGGTCGTCAATTGGCTTCGTCGTCATCAGCCTCCTAACCCAGAAACGGGGGAAGAGGAGGAGGAGGAGGAAGAGGAGAAGGGGCGGCAAACCCAATTCAGGCCTGGATGTGTTCGCTAGTTTTGTTGTGCCCAAAATTGGTGTCGGTGATCATATGATCAGAACAGTTCGTCCTTTTGGGTGCGGTAGCATGATCTTATCGCAGCACGCATCGACCCAATGAATAAGACTAATCTAAGGGGGGCATTGGTAGCGCTAGGCATGACATACATTCATGTACGAAACAACTACATAAAAAAACATCTCTGGAAACACAAACATTGCGACATGCATACTTTCGATAACGTCGCAGGTGATCGAATGTATCTGAGATGCGAGGGGAGGGCAGTCGGGCACGGCGGATATATGGCAAACCCTGTAGAACTATGGAACGTAATGAGGTAGCATTCTCCATCGTGGATGGCTGTTGTATAACAGATGCTGGAAATACCCATTTTCCCTTGCCGTGTAACGCGCGCAGCATCATTTCAGGTTCACATACGCCCGGCAGCGTTGCACGGGAGGCGTCTGCCGAGCTCTTGAAAGGTTTCGGACGAGCGGAGGCGGGGGAGGAGGAGGAAGAGAAAGCGGGGGAGGAGGAGGAGGAGGAGGAGGAGGAGGAGGAGGAGGAGGAGGAGGAGGAGGAGGAGGAGGAGGATGAGAAGAGAGGATGGTGAGGAAGACCGGGGAGGAGGAGGAAGAGAAAGACTAGAGAACAGGGGAGGACGGTGAGCCTTGCGCTCCGCCAGACGGGGTGCATTGCCCAACCTGTCGGGTGCAATGCCCAGTCGGGCGGGTACACGGCCCAACTCGCAGGTGCAATGCCCACTCTTTCGGGTGCAATGCCCTGTCCGTCGAATGCGATGGCCAACCTGTCGAGTACCATGCCCAACTCTCGGGTGCAATGCCCCATCTTCCAGGTGCAGTGCCCAACCGTGGAGGTGCCATGCCCAACTTGTCGGGTGCCATGCCCAGCCGTCCGGGTGCAGTGTCCATTCTTTTGGGCGCAACGCCCAACTGAAAGGGTGCAAAGCCCATGGCGTCGGTACAATGCCCAATTTGTCGCATGCAATGGCCACTGCGTCGGGTGCAAAGCCATATCCTAGCATGATTATGATTATGTTTCTTCTTCTCCACCTTCCTCTCCATAATACTATTATTCTGCTTATCATACTTGTAATTTGTGGGCGCCAGCCCGAACTGGGCTGAACCGAGCTCGCGCGAACCGGTGATTGTCTCAACGCGACACGAACCGAACCGCACCTGCCGTTTTTGACACTCGAACCGAACCGAACCGGCTTCGATTTTGACTCCGAACTGGGCCGAATCTTCCCCCCGAACTGGACCGAACCGGACCGAACCAGAGCGCGGAAGCCACCGAAACGAATCGGGAACTGCAAGCCGAAACCGACCAGAGAAGGACGGCGGAGACCGAACCTGCTGGACCGAACCGGCCTGACGATCCGCGACGACGACGACGTCACAGGCCGACTCCCCAATGGTCCCCCGCCGTCTGAAGCTCCCCCTGGGGCCTACGAAGCACCTTGAATCGGCGATAAATCGGCGGCGATATGTAGGCCCCGGATAACGAAACCACACCCTCACGGGCGGGACGGGCTATCGGACCGCCATCGGCGACGAATGGGCGATGCGGGGTCGATGCGCTCCACCCTCAGCCTGTTCCCCCCCCCTCCTCTCCTAACCTTGTCCCTGACCTTCCGCTCCCTGGCTTTCCTGCCACTCCGTCAACCCGTTTCATAAGAATGCGCGGTAAGGGTGCCAGCGCTTTGGAGGCCCATGTGAACGTTCTTCGAACGAGGTTGGCCAGCGAAAATTGCTAATTGGGCCGAGGGGGCAAGGATGCAAGGGTACCCCTTGGGAAAGTTCCCCATCCTAACTGCGCGGGTTGACTCGACCTCGTGCCTCCTGCGGCCGATCTGGGGAAGCCAAGAAGTACCGAAGTACCGATACCGCCACTCCCCGGACTTTTCCTGGGGTGCGCTCGGACCAGAATTTCGGGGCGAATCCGGCCGTGGCGACGAAGGCCTCCCAGGGGGCCCAAACAAGGGGAAGACGAGGGAGGTGGTAGAGGTACGGGTACCTTTCCCTCCTCTCGGCTGCACGCAAGAGTGACCCTGGGTAAGAGTGACCCTTGGTGCGCGACTCTTGGGTGGCCGCGGGGGGGCCAAACCCCGGCGCGCAAGACGCTGCTATCGCATCGCGCTCGGTGCTCGGGAGACCCCATTGGGCCCGCACCAAAGGTCACTCCGGCGAAAGGTCACTCTTACGTGTATTTGGACGCCCGAAATGGGTACCGAAAGAATGGGTACAATGCCCAACAACAAATGTTGTCCCAAACCAACAGCGGCCGCTGCTGGGCAGGCGGCCTCCTGTCTCGAATGAACACAGGCCGCGGCGGCGTGGACAGCGAGCCCTGTTCAAAATGAGCCAGATCCGCTGTTGGGCATAATACCAATTCTTTCAGTACCCATTTCGCTCGTGCGGAATGTAGCCGATCCTCGCACTCTCGACGGACACGGCGCGCGGCTACCCGGCGGGGCCGCCCAGGCCGCCCCAGAAGGGGCGGGCACAAGCCCTCGGCGAGCTGTGCCGGGCCCAGGGGCCACCTGCCGCCGCCCTGGAGGCTGAAGTCGGGCCTGTCCCCCTAGACAGGGGGATTGCCGTCGAA